TTTGTTTACAATAATTTAATACTAAACAAACACAATGAAATATATTTCTTTCGTTAGGTTCAGAATGATTTTGGCGAAATTATTGCATACACAAATTTTCACTTGTCTTATATGGCAAGATGAACGTTGCTATTTAAGCCAAGATCGCAAGTTCTGCCTATTCGGCACGACATATATATATATATATATATATATATATATATATATATATATATATATATATATATATATATATATATACAAGGAATTCGCAAGAGCAGGCGAAATATGCACAAACACTGATCTCTGGCTGAAGGAGACTCGAACCTACGAACCTTGGAACAAGGTACCCAGTGCTATACCAATCTCACCACTGACAATCTCACCAGTGTGGTGAGATTGGTATAGCACTGTGTACCTTGTTCCAAGGTTCGTAGGTTCGAGTCTCCTTCAGCCAGAGATCAGTGTTTATAAATATATATATATATATATATATATATATATATATATATATATATATATATATATATATATATATCGATCGTCCCGAATAAGTAAAATTGGTCAGTTAGCAAGAACTCATTTAAAATTAGGTCCTTTCTAAAATTTTCTCCTATTCGTTTAAAAATATTTTAAGGCAAAAATTAATAATTTTATACCAAAGGAACCTTAGAAAATTTACCTAATCTGACTATAACAAGCGCAATTTAATTTAGCCTAATCGAACAAAACGTATTTTAGATAAGTTTAAAATAATTTAATTATAAACGAACACAATGAATTTTTTTTTTCATTACGTTCAGAATAATTTTTCCGAAATTATTGCATACACAAATTTTCACTTGCCTTATTAGGCAAGAAGAGCATTCTATTTAAGCTAAAATCATAAATTTTACCTATTCAGCGCGACATGGTAAAAATTGTGAAGGGATGCAGGGAAACCGCTTAGCCAGACTAGAAGTGAGAAGTACAGTGCCTGTGCTGTAAAGGAGGGGCGCTTATATATTCCAGTTTTTTTCCTGTAGTGTAGGGATGCCTCTGGCTCTACAATGATGGAGCGAATGGTGATGAAGGTGTTTCTTCTTTTTCTGGTCACTTGCCATGGTGGGTAATGGACGATGTGTTAATAACAAAATAAAATGTTACTCCTCAGGAAGTAAGACATATTTAGCGTTCTCATTAGGTGTTATTTCTCTCAAGTTTTTCTAATTCATTTCTTTTGCATATTTCGGGAATTTGTTATGTATGAGGCCAAAGAGCAAAGATGTCGTGTACATAGAGGAATAAGAGTGAAGGTCGTACATCAGCAGTAGGAAGAAGAACAGTCTCGAAGTATTCCATTTAAAAATTAACAAGAATAGGAGATAGAGGAGAGCCCATAGAGACACCGAAGATTTGAGAATAATATTTACATAGGAAGGAAAAGGAATTTGAGTCCACACAAAGGCGGATAAGATCAAGAAAGACATCCGTATGTATAGGGAGATGAAGTAACCCTTCATTGGCCTTCTCTCTGAGAAAATTAAGGACATCATAAATTGTATCTCGTATATGTATCTCATAAATGCCAACCTGTGACCCAATCAAACTTTGTTACTATTTAACTTCATTACCTGACATAATACTCCATTCTACTGATTACACAGCAACACAGTAATGACCATATGACCTGTCTTTGTAATACTCTCCTGTACTAAATTGTTATCTGTTTTACAATAATTTTTGTACCACTGAATATATCATTGCTTAGTTAATCTTAAGTTAATTTTAAGCCTGCCCGTAATGCTCTGCATTCAAGTGGCTTTGGCATGCTGCACTTTACTGTATTCTTTTGTACTTCACTGTATCATGTTCAAATTAATAAATAAATAAATAAATAAATCATCAAGAGGGACATTAGTGAAGAAGGACTCAATGTCAAGACTAAGCATCTTACAGGTCGGGAGAGAACTAACCCGTTTGATGAAGTCTTGAGAGTGACGAAGGTGGGCAGGAGAAAAAGTACCAAATCTCCTGTTCTTGCTAATCTCTACACGGAATACTTCGAGACTGTTCCTCTTCCTACTATTGATGTGCGACCTTCACTCTGGCTCAGCTATGTTGATGACATCTTTGCTCTGTGGCCTCATGACTAGTTTTTCAACTATTTCTTGACACCCTTAATCTTGCCCTTTCCATTAAGTTTGAAGCTGAATGGGAATCTTATTTCTTGCTTCCTTTCCTTGATGTTCAAGTCCACCGCTCAGATACAGGTTTTGCTGTACCCGTGTGCCGCAAGCCTATGCACAGTGGCATGTACATTCACTATTTTTCCTATCATGCTTCATCTGTCAAGAAAAGTGTTCTTATCTCCCTCTTTCTCCGTGCTCTCCGCATTTATGATCCTCAGTTTCCTGAATCAGAAATTTGAGCTCTTCGTAATTCATTTTCCCATCTAGGCTACCCTTCCCATTCCACAGACTGCCTTCTCACGTGCTAAACCGACTTTCTTCTTTCCCAAACTTTCTACTCCTGTGAACTCTCCTGTCCTCTGCCTTCCCTATATTTACAGTCTTTCTAATCTCAACTCTCTCTCTTCCTTAAACTTCAAACTTATTTTCCGCCAGACTAACACTCATCACACCAAAATAGTTCATACCTCTCCTCACTCCATAGATTCTCCTGATATCTACTCTATTTCTTGCTCATCTTGTTCTCTTCAATTCTTTGGAGAAACTGGTCGTTCTCTTTGTGACAGACTCAGGAAATACAAAAGTAGTGTTAGGCTTGCCGACACCAACAATGCTCTTTTCTGTCGTGTCAGAGATCATAGTCATCCTATTGACTGATCTTCTGCCCAAACTGTCTAACCTACGTCTAACTTTCACAGTCACCGTCTGGTTGAATCCTCCCTTATAAATAACTTTCCTTGTGCGAATCTTAGTTGTAGCTTTGTCTCTGTAGATGCCTTCCTTTCCCAGCACACTGTAAAATGCTCCAAACTTCAGAACACCTGTGACTTAACCTGATTCTTGTTTCCTCTTTTTCTCTCTTCCTCTTTCCTCTTTCTTCTCTGGGTTTCCTTTCTTCCGCCTTGGGTATTTGGTCCATTATTATTTTCCCCTGTGTTCTTTTTGCTACCCTTTGTGGGCCTCTATCTCCCTTGCAGTGCTCCTCTTTCTTAGTCTTTGACTCCACTACTGCTATTACCTCTACCACTACTTCTCATCTTCCTGTACTACCTCTCTTGTCCCGTCCCTGTCTGCTGGCCTATATATGCTCCTTCCTCTCCTTTACGTTAGTGTGACTTTGTAAATGATCCAAGTTGGACGGAAAGTTCCTCTCTCCTATTTGCGAGTTATTTGTGCACTATGTCGACAAGTGGTAATATCTACTTCACTGTCGTTAAAGAAAAATTCAAGACAGGTCGTTATCAAGACAAGTGCACAAGGTCCAACAAGTGCACAAGGTCCAACAAGTGTACAAGGTCCAGCAAGTGTGCAAGGTCCAGCAAGTGCGCAAGGTCCAACAAGTGTGCAAGATACAACAAGTGCGCAAGGTCCAACAAGTGTGCAAGGTCCAGCAAGTGTGCAAGGTCCAGCAAGTGTGCAAGGTCCAGCAAGTGCACAAGGTCCAACAAGTGCGCAAGATACAACAAGTGTACAAGGTCCAGCAAGTGTGCAAGGTCCAGCAAGTGTGCAAGGTCCAACAAGTGCGCAAGGTCCAGCAAGTGTGCAAGGTCCAGCAAGTGTGCAAGGTCCAGCAAGTGTGCAAGGTCCAACAAGTGTGCAAGGTCCAGCAAGTGCGCAAGATACAACAAGTGCGCAAGGTCCAACAAGTGTGCAAGGTCCAGCAAGTGTGCAAGGTCCAGCAAGTGTGCAAGGTCCAGCAAGTGCACAAGGTCCAACAAGTGCACAAGGTCCAACAAGTGCACAAGGTCCAGCAAGTGCACAAGGTCCAACAAGTGTGCAAGGTCCAGCAAGTGCACAAGGTCCAACAAGTGCGCAAGGTCCAACAAGTGTGCAAGGTCCAGCAAGTGCACAAGGTCCAGCAAGTGCACAAGGTCCAACAAGTGCACAAGGTCCAACAAGTGCACAAGGTCCAACAAGTGCACAAGGTCCAACAAGTGCACAAGGTCCAACAAGTGCACAAGGTCCAACAAGTGCACAAGGTCCAACAAGTGCACAAGGTCCAACAAGTGCGCAAGGTCCAACAAGTGCACAAGGTCCAACAAGTGCACAAGGTACAAGTGCACAAGGTCCAACAAGTGCACAAGGTCCAACAAGTGCACAAGGTCCAACAAGTGCACAAGGTCCAACAAGTGCACAAGGTCCAACAAGTGCACAAGGTCCAACAAGTGCACAAGGTCCAACAAGTGCACGAGGTCCAACAAGTGCACAAGGTCCAACAAGTGCACAAGGTCCAACAAGTGCACAAGGTCCAACAAGTGCGCAAGGTCCAACAAGTGCACAAGGTCCAACAAGTGCACAAGGTCCAACAAGTGCACAAGGTCCAACAAGTGCACAAGGTCCAACAAGTGCACAAGGTCCAACAAGTGCACAAGGTCCAACAAGTGCACAAGGTCCAACAAGTGCACAAGGTCCAACAAGTGCACAAGGTACAAGTGCACAAGGTCCAACAAGTGCACAAGGTCCAACAAGTGCACAAGGTCCAACAAGTGCACAAGGTCCAACAAGTGCACAAGGTCCAACAAGTGCACAAGGTCCAACAAGTGCACAAGGTCCAACAAGTGCACAAGGTCCAACAAGTGCACAAGGTACAAGTGCACAAGGTCCAACAAGTGCACAAGGTACAAGTGCACAAGGTCCAACAAGTGCACAAGGTCCAACAAGTGCACAAGGTCCAACAAGTGCACAAGGTCCAACAAGTGCACAAGGTCCAACAAGTGCACAAGGTCCAACAAGTGCACAAGGTCCAACAAGTGCACAAGGTCCAACAAGTCGAAAAGATTCAATTCACACACAAGCTTTATTGAGACATTTCATTTGCTCCACATGTGATACACTTCAATAAATCTCGTCTCAGCATATTGTGTCTTTATTTAACAGTTCAATATGATACATGCAAAATAATTTTTAGGAACCTACGCAGAAACATTAGAAGAAGCAAGTAGCATCTTATAATCCAGCTTCTCAGTTTATTGTCCTTCAATATTTATTAGAAGGCAACCTTTTTTATCCAGGCTAGATATGGAGGATTACGAAGGTTGACGTAGAGTCCAGGGTAGTCCTTGTGGCCACAACCATACCCACGAGAGACAACTGCAGCCAAGGTGTAATACCCAGCTGAGTGCAAGCCAACAAGTGGTCCACCTGAGTCACCCTGAGGAAAGTAAAAGATCATACAAGGCTTATAAAAATGAGAATTGGAACAATACGAAAGGAACAACTTATCTTATCTTATGAAAGGTACACACGAAGATTTTCATTTACGTGTGACTTTTATCGTTTATATCTGACGGCGAAATGCCTAGATTTCACACAAAATTCAGATAGGAGTGAATTATTTTTTGACATAATAAAACATCAATTATGTATGAAAGCTGATACGAATCTTATGGGTATGTGAATTATTAGGAAATTCATCCCACCAGAATAATACAGTTGTGGCTGGAATACTTTTAAATTAATTTACAACCATCGTTAGCAACATACTCGTGTTAAAGTAATGGTGAATTTTGCACTTGATTTAGAACAATTATTTGATGTAAGAAATTTAATTATTCATAGCATAAATATCGACCTTAAACTATAAGTAGGGCATTAAAACTGCAATTTAATATTATGACCTGAAAGTAAATTAATATTAAAATCACTGAAAAATTAAAGGAAAAATATAATGCAACATGAATTGTAAAATATAAATGTAAAAGACGGCATAATCTCGCAAACAATATTTGTTAAGAGACATGTTAAGTGTCTCCTGATAGGGGTTTTATTCATATGTACAATGTGCAAATCATAGTGGATTATCATCTTAATCAAAACTAAGTGCTAAGCTCATAAGGGTCATAGAGCACAGCAGGGCAGGATGTAATAAAAGGTTTAATATTCTTGATCAGAGATCATTTGTTAAAGAGTATAACAGAAGTAGTGTTTGTAAGGGCGGTGAGGAGTGCTAAAGGAAGAATAATCAGAAGTTGTGCAATCTGTTTCTGCCAAAAAGGCAAAGAGGGAGTCTGTGTCAAAGATGGGTCCGTCAGTAAGGAGGGAAGATAAAGTAAGTGTTTTAGAGTGGTGACGACGTTGGAGGTAAATTCTGTGTGGTCGCTGATAAACGGGACAGTCCAAGAGTGGAATTGGGCGCCTCTCCACGAGAAACCCACGAGTGAGACGTGTGTGTCCGATGCAAAGACAGGAAAACGTTGTCTCAAGACCACAGCACTTATGATAAGAAGACCAGGATCCTAAACCTGGACTGATAACAGTGGAATTTGTTATGAATTAATTCAGACCAATGTTGTTGTCAACGGTTGCAAAAGTGCTAAAGATTACAGCAATTAATCTGAGAATGGAATACCTCTGTATAAAACTAGAAGATCATGTACAGATGACAATGCAGGAGAGGTCGGCCTGCTCGTTGCCCTGAGCATCAACATAACCAGGGGCCAAGCAGAAAATTATTTCTTTGTTTTTATTAGAAATGCGGCACAACCAAAGTTGTATACGAAGAACTAGGGGAAGAGACAAATTAAATTTTTTGATAGCTTGTGAATCACTAAAGTAGTCTGAGACTACCACAAATGTTGAAGTAGGCCTGCAAGCAATACGGATAACTGCAATGAGAATTGCATACAGTTCAGCTGTCAAAATGACCTCAAACACACTCCGTGAATACAGCTATAAACACGACACCGTCAGAGAATTTAGGACCATCACTGTAAACTGTAAAGGCATGAGAATAAAACTGGTAGTGGTTAAGAAAAAGGGAGCGAGAAACCACTGTAGATACCTGAGCTATAGTGCACGGTAGTGGGTAAGAACAGACACGAACTGTCGGAACCTCACCAGGGGCAAGGGAAAAATTAGATGCTAGATGAACACATGAGGGGGGCAACTGAAGAGAAGTCAAGAGCGATTGAATTCACAGAGAAAAGGGATGGAATAAACAGGGGCAGCGAGCAAATACTGGACCTCTACCTATGTCCGTTTCTACCTTGTATGTAGAAGGGTTGTGAAGGTCATGAGGACCCACAAAATAACTGAGGCAATGAACATAACAGCGATAGTTCAAGGATGAAATATTCTCCTCTGCATGTAGGCTCTCGAAAGGTGAGGAGTGAGTGGGAGTGCGAGGGTCGAAATGAGTGGGACTACCTGTATTTAAATCATGTAGGGGAAGAGAAGTGAGAAGAGCCTCTAACTGATCGCTACAAGAGTGCAGTGAGACCCTTCCCAGAGATGCCACATCTGGAATAGATGATGGCTGAGAAGGAGAAAGATACAAAGAGTAGACTGTATACCACTTGTCCAAGTAGATGTGTAATGCAGTGAAGTATGGGCAAGTATCTATGAATGCTGTATACCTTGGCATACAAGTAGTGCACTTGCATTAAAAGTCCCATCAGGAAAATGATCCGATGAATGCAATTAGATATAGCCCGAGATGGAACGGAAAACACCAGAGCACAAAGTTGGTTCTTGCAGACAAACACAAACAGATCAAAACTGGGAGAACACCTGAAGCTCACTCACATTATTCCTGAGCCCTCTAATATTCCACGGTAAATAAGCCACGATCGGCTAATAGAGCATTACAGTAACATTTTATAGGTGTTGACGGACCAGAAGGGTCAGTAAATTCAACATGCATAGACACTGGGAGCTAGTAAGGAGTGAAGTATTGGGATGGTATGAAGAAAGGTGGTGTGAAGGCGCGGATGGTGAGAATGTTAAGTGTCGAGGAGGGGAGAAGACGAAGAGAGCTTGGCGGCAGAGGGAGAAGGTGTAGTTTGGGTAAAAAGTGGAGAGACAATAGAAGACACCAAGGAAGGGGGAGAAGTGTCTTAGAAGGCAGAAATTTCCTGAGGGACAGGCAAAGGAACAACTGTACTCAAGGGTGCACGAACCTCGAGGCTGAGAGATAGAGAAGAACGTTTGGGAAAGTCATGTGGCTAAGGGGTTGAAGGAGTTTTGGAGGCATGTGTAGATGTAAACCTTGGCGTTGATTTAGATTGGAGGGGTGCGTAGACAATGAAGCATGTAAGTGTGAAGGTGAAGTAGAAACAGAAAGAGATGATGAGCCTCAGAGCCCAGGACCGTAAAAGGGTCGGGCACTGAGTTGACTGCAAAAGGGGCACAGAGACAATTGTGGAATCAGGCACCAGCGAATTCTGAGGACGTCTAGTGGCCCTGAAATAAGAAAGCCATGGAAGTTTCCCTTGGAGGTGGAGATGGGAAATTACCATGGTTTGATTTATGAGAAGCCCTCTTTGTCTTCAAGACAATGGATCTCCCTCTCTCTTAAGCAAATTAAGCATTGGCGAGAATAGGCCGGGTGTGCCTCTTTGCAGTTAAGGCAAGAGGACATGCTACCTCTGACCTGCAACAATTTAGTGTGTGGCCACAGCACCGGCATTTTTCGAAGGTAGGGATTGCCTCCCGCACTTTTCGTCATTGTCCCGCTACATAAACAGATGGTGGCAGTTGAAGGATCAGGGAATACTGACATGGGTCGATCCTAGGTCCGGTGCTATTTCTTGTGTACATGAATGACATAATGGAAGGAATAGATTCAGAAGTGTCACTATTCGCTGATGATATGAAACTGATGAGGAGAATACAAGCGGACGAGGATCAGTTTAAGTTACTAGGGGATTGGGACAGACTACAAGTCTGGTCCGACAAATGGCTCCTGGAGTTTAACCACAGTAGGTGAAAGGTCATGAAGATTGGGGAAGAAGACAGAAGACCACAGACGGCATACAGGTTAGGGAATCAAAGGCTGCAAACGTTACATAAAGAAAAGGATATTGGGGTAAGCATTATAACGATCATATCCCATGAGGCACACATCAGTCAATTAACTGCTGCAGCATATGGGCCCTTGGCAAACCTGAGATTAGCATTTAGACATCTGAGTAAAGAGTCATTCACGACATTGTACACCGTGTATGTCAGGCCTATACTGGAGTATGCAACACCAGTATGGAGCCCTCACCTAGTCAAACACATCACGAAATTTGAGAAAGTGCAAAAATTTGCAACACGATTAGTTCCGGAGCTGAGGGGTATGTCTTATAAGGAGAGGTTAAGGAAACTCAACCTGATGACACTAGAGGATAGGAGGGATAGGGGGGGACACGATGTTAACGTACAAAATACTGAGAGTAATTAACAAGGTGGAAAGGGTTCAAATGTTTCAGAGATAGGATACAGGAACAAGGGGCCACAGTTGGAAGCTGAAAACCAAATGAGTCATAAGGGTGTTAAGAAGCATTTCTTTAGCATTAGATTGTCAGGAAGTGGAATAATCTGGAGAGTAAAGTAATGGAAGCAAGTTCCATACATAGCTTAAAGAAGAGGTATGATGAAGCTCACTGAGCAAGGAGAGAGTGAATAAGTATCGGCCAGAGAAGAGGATGGGCGAGGAGCTATGACTCGACCTGTGCAACTACATATAGGTGAGCACATATAGGTGAGTACAACACACACACACACACACACACACACACACACACACACACACACACACAGAAGTGTCCCTGTTTGCAGATGATGTGAAGTTAATGAGGAGAATTAAATCTGATGAGGACCAGGCAGGACTTCAAAGAGACCTGGACAGACTGGACACCTGGTCCAGCAAATGGCTTTTCGAATTTAATCTTGCCAAATGCAAAGTCATGAAGATAGGGGAAGGGCACAGAAGACCACAGACAGAGTATAGGCTAGGTGGCCAAAGACTGCAAACCTCACTCAAGGAGAAAGATCTTGGGGTGAGTATAACACCGAGCATGTCTCCGGAAGCACACATCAATCAGATAACTGCTGCAGCATATGGGCGCCTGGCAAACCTGAGAACAGCATTCCGATACCTTAGTAAGGAATCGTTCAAGACACTGTACACCGTGTATGTCAGGCCCATACTGGAGTATGCAGCACCTGTTTGGAACCCGCATTGATAAAGCACGTCAAGAAACTAGAGGAAGTACAAAGGTTTGCGACAAGGTTAGTTCCAGAGCTAAGGGGAATGTCCTATGAAGAAAGATTAAGGGAAATCGGCCTGACGACACTGGAGGACAGGAGGGTCAGGGGAGACATGATAACGACATATAAAATACTGCGTGGAATAGACAAGGTGGACAAGGACAGGATGTTCCAGGG